TTAGTAAGCGCAAGTTGTTGTTATGTGCTGTGGAGTCGGTTCTGACTCAGCGACCTTGTACAGGGTTTCCGAGGCTGTAAATCTTTACAGGAGCAGAAAACCTCATCTTTCTCCTGCAAAACAGCTGGTAGTTTCGTACTGCTGATCTTAAGGTTAGCAGCCCGATTCGTAACCACTATGCTACCAGAGCTTCTTAGTAAGTGCAAGTAAGCCTACCCAAATCCACTGCCAGGGAGTCAAATCCAGCCCCACAGAACTGCCCCATAGGGTTTCCAAGATTGTAAATCTTTCCAGAAGCAGAAGGTTAGGTCTTTCTGACACTGAGCAGCAGGTAGGTTTGAACTGGGGACCTTTCGGTTAACAGTTGAGCTCTTTAAACATGAGCCTTAAGGCTCTGTCCTTGATAGGGATTGTAAAAGTGAAAGGAGGCTGAACCTTTGTAAGCATTTTGCGCATCGGGTTCTCCAACATTGTCTGGGAGCTTTAGTGAAGAGAAGCACAGTTCTGCCCAGAAAGGTTCCAAATGTCTTCTGAGACAAAGCCCACTTTAGGAGATTGGAGTTTGACCCGGAAGGCAGAAATGTAAAAATTTCTCACCCCCAGAGCCCTACCACAGAGCTTAAAGGGTGATTTTAAAATGTGATGGCTCATGTTTGGAAATCTACAAAATGTAAATGAAATCCGCCCACAACCGCACATTCCATCTTGCCCTCTGAAGGCCGGCAAATTCATTAGCATATTAAAGGTGCTATGAAGTCTGGCAGCAAAGAATCAACTGAATGATAATTAACACAGTGTTTCCCAAACAGATTGGACCACAGAACCGTTTTCCCAAGAAACAGTTCTTTCTGTGGAGTTGCTTTGGACAAAGAACAGTGTCAGGCTTTCCTCTGGCACACTGCTTTGTTGTTGTGGATAGTTGACAAGGATTCAGCTCAAGGAGACCTCATGTATTTGTTATGAGCCTTGGAGTGGGTGTAAAAGTTGAGTGTAGACTGTTTGAGAACTTAACAAAATAATGGAACATTGCCTGAGGCATCACCCACCCCACACCCATAAGTTTCTCTCCTTTATAATGTTAATGGTGCCTCTGCTTGAAGCTTGGGCCCTCTTTGTGGGACTTCAGAACGAGTAACAGCTCTGATGCACAAACCCGCACCTTGAGAGTTAACCCTTTTGATGTTTATCAGCACATCCAATCACCTTGTGAATGGATGCAGATGCCAGAGTGATAAGATTGGGGCCTGCCTACAAGCATAAATATTGCTTATAAATAAAAAAATATTTCAGGGGACACTATCCCACTCTTTCCTGCGGGTGTCTCAGAGTTGCAGCCACTGCATCAATCAATCTTAAGGGCCTCCCCAGCTTCACTAACCCTTCACTTTCTCAAAAATGACATCTTTTTCTAGAGATTAGTCAGAGCCTTGAAGGAGCTCTGGTAGCGTAGTGGTTACGAATTGGGCTGGGAACCACTAGGTCAGCAGTTCGAAAAATCCCATAAAGATTTGCAGGGTCGGCTATGAGTCGGAACCGACTCCACGGCACTTAACAACAACAACAACAACAGTCAGAGCCTTGAGCCAAGTCCACTTGGCCAAAACAGCAGTAAAGTACACAGGGGCAATGAACTGGGGCTTCCTCAGAGCTCACTGAGCAGAGCTGAAAGTCCATACTTGGCATTTTCATCTTTCCTTAGGTGTAAGAGGCAGGGTGCTACTATGGAGCAGAAAATCTGAAGGCTTTTTGCCTGTGAAGGACTCCAGCCAGGCAGAGCTTAATTCCATCTTGTGCCTAGGTTCAGTGTAACAGTGCCAATTTTTCTTCAGTACCTTATGTACCTCTGGACTGCCAGTTAGAAGCAAGGTATATTTAACTGTGGGCTTTGGGCTACTTCCCCCTGTCAGTAGCATTCCTGGACATCCCTTTTAATGTTCTGTCTGTGAAGGCATACCCACCCTGCCCCCCAAGAGTCTCAGAGACTGCAAGCCCTCCAATGTGCAATAGTCTCCTCCCTGCCTCCCTACTTTCTGTAGGCCTGGCATGCATATGTGACACATGGCTGCTGTCCTCACTCCTGGTTGTAGGAGGAGATCCCTTTGTTCTCTGTGCCCTATAAAAGGTCACCGTGTGGAGACAGAACTGGGGAATTCATCATGGTTTTCAGGACATCCTTCACCTGGGCGATCCGTGTGTCTTTGTTTACTCCTCTTTAAGACTTAATAAAGAGTCTCTATACTATTTATCTATTTGAGGATGGAGTCCCTTATCTCCCCTTGGACAGTGCTCAAGTAGAGAAGGTCCCAAACCATGACTAGTTTGGACATTTCTATGTGGAAATACGAACTAGCCTCCATGAAAGGCTGCTTAGGAAATGGAACCACTGGCTAACCCAGGAGCCCCTAAACACTTTTGAGAAGCTGGCCTGTGTTGCTGCCTTATTAGCAATGACATCAAAGGAAACAGAAGGGAAATACACCAGTCATTGGCTGCACCAGAAGCTGATGGTAACTGGGACCCCCAGGAAGGAGAACTGCATGTGCGCTCCAGTCACTTTACTGCTTGGTCCAGAGTCCAATGGTCTGACTTCTGCCAGCTGGCTTTTGGACCAGTATTCCTGCAATACGCATGAGCAGATCGTCTATGTAGCTTAAGTAATGGTTTCAAAGATGCTTTGAAGCAAGCAAAACATTTTCATATTTGCAAGCAGTGTCATATTCCCCAACAAGCATGGTAAGCATGGGCTTACTTGTGCATACTTACTAAGTTGTTGTGAACCATTTGTTACTACATCAAAGATTCAACTTCTAGGTATGGCTGGCATCTATCTTTCTCCTAATCCCACAGCACCGTCCAAGAGAATAAAAGCTTTTTTTCAAATTTACAATTCCCTACAGAGACAGAGTTCCCAGTATGCAAGGTAAACACAGGCTTACTTGTGCTTATTTAAAGTCTGTAGTGAACCATTTCATATGTTTTTCCCATGTGAAACTGTACACTTCAGGTTAGTAAGTAACCACAAGTAAGCCTGTACCTTTGCTTACTGGGTAGTCCACCCCTGTTTCCAAGAGTAATTACAACTGAAATCCTGGCACACACTGGGAAGTCTTGTTTGTCGTTGTTATTAGGCACTGGTGAGTTGGTGTGACTCATAGCATGTTTGAAACCATTGCTAAAGTCACTGTGTCAATCTCATTGAGAGTCTTCCTCCTTTTCACCCATCTTCGACCAAGTAGGATGTCCTTTTCCAGGGACTGGTCCCTCCTGATGATATGTCTAAAGTACATGAGATGAAGTCTCATCGTCCTGACTTCTATGAACCACTCTGGCTGTACTTCTCTCAAGACAGATTTGTTTGTTCTTCTGGCAGTCTATGGTACTTTTAATATTTTTCTCCAACATAATTACAATACACCAATTCTTTTATGGTCTTCCTTATTCACTGTTCGACTTTCACATGTATGTGAGGCAATTGAAAATACCATGACTTTGGTCAGGCACAACTTAGTCTTCAAAGTGATATCTTGGTTCTTGAACACTTTAAAGAGGACTTTTCAGTAGATTTCCCCATTGGAATATATCATTTGAATTCCTGACTTCTGCTTCCATAGGCAACAATTGTGGATCCAAATAAAATGAGTCTTTGACAAGTTAAATCTTTTCTCAGTTTGTCATAATGCTGCTTATTGGTCCAGTTTGTTTTCTTTCTGTTGAAATATAATCCATACTGAAGGCATCAACAAATGCTTCAAGTTCTTTTCATTTTCAGCAAGCAAGTTTGCATTATCTGCAGATCACAGGTTGTTAGTGAGCCCTCCTCCAGTCTGGCAGCTGTGTTCTTCATATAGTTCATTTTCTCAGATGATTTGTTCAGTGTACAGATTAGATAAATGTAGTGACAGGATACAACCCCGACACACACCTTCCCTGATTTTAAACCACACAGAATCCCCTAATTTTGTTAGAATAATTGTGTCTTGGTCTATGTACAGATTTTACATGAGCACACAACTTTTATGCTTTACAATATTACCCATAATTTGTTATTTATTACAGTCCAATGCTTTTGTATAATTGATAAGACACAGGTAAGCATCTTTCTGGTCTTCTCTGCTTTTAGTCTCAAGAACCATCTGATATCAGCAATGATATCATTTATTCTACTTCCTCTTTTGAATCTGGCTTAAATTTCTGGCAGTTTCCATTCGATGTACTGCTGCAATGATTTTTGAATTATCTTCATTATAATTTTACTTGTATGTGACATTAATGACATTTTCCAATCATTTCCACATCTATTGGATTGCCTTTCTTTAGAATGGGCACAAATAAGAATCTCTTCCAACCAGCTGGTCAGTTAGTTGTCCTCCAAATTTCTTGGCTTAGACAACTGAGTAATCTTGCTTAAATTCTTTTAAATGTAGAAACTGTACACTGGATTAAAAATAGATCACAGTTGTGTACTTTTTCCTCCTTTCCTCCCTGCTTCAAGGGCTGTTCAGTAATTTGATCTACCTCTGAGATTAAGCAGAGAAATTCTAACTCCTGTCACCTAGGAGTCAGCTGTGCTAAAACAAAACTCATTGCCAAATAGGTCTTGGGAGCTCCTACTCATATCACTGAGGTGAGCTACCAATTGTTCTATAAAATAAGTTATAAAATTACAAGCAAAGGGTATCACTAAGACCTGTGGATCATGCTAAGTGAACATGTAGGCAGTGAGGAGAAAAGTTTCCAACAGTGCTATCCTTAGGGCTGTCTTCAACCTTACATCGTACACATTGTCCAGAAATGATTTTGGTGCTTACGGTTAGAAGAAGCTGTATGAGACTGCCAAGTCATGGGCTTCTTATATTCAAGAGTTACAGAGAGATGAGACCTGATTTCAGCAGCACCGAAATGCCAAATATCACATCACTCGCTGGATTATCTGTGTGTGAGAATCCTCACGCCCATCAAAGAGAACACTCACTCAGGATTACCTCTGCACAATCACTTACCTTCATGAACATGCTAATTCCAGTTTTGAGCAGATCGGTGAGGCCTGAAGACATGTGTTCAATATCGATGGGATCTGACCTCTCGGGATGAAATATTTCCTCCACAACCTGCTTCAGCAATGGCTTATAGGAGGCCTGAAAAGACAAAGTATTGTGTTGTAAGTAAAAGGGTTTGTTTGGTTTGTCTACAGAGAGGACAGCTTTATCTGCATCAAAGGAAACAAAGCAAGTTTCTTTTGGTACTGCACAATGGCTTTGATCATGTGTGCGTGTAACAGTCAATGGAAGGAGTGCTGGTGGCACAATGGTTAAGTACTCTGCTGCAGAATGTAAGGTAGGTGGTTCGAACCCACCAGCTGTTTCCTCAGGAGAAAGATGTGACATTCTGCTTCGTTAAAGATGATAGCCTTGGAAATCCTATGGGCAGTTCTACCCTGTCCGATAGGGTCACTATGAGTTGGAATCAATTTGATGACAATATAATGATACTGGGTGTTTTTGTACATTTTCATCCCAATGAGTTAGCACTATTTTGTTTCTCATATTGTCTTCTATGTGCAAATGTCTTTTATAAGAGCTAGAATCACGACATGGCTAATTTTTCCTAAACAGCCTTACAATTATGGCCCCCTCTCCTAGGAAGTTGAATGTTTATTTATCATGTGACATCACAATGCAAGCCTAAAACCTAAACCAAATCCACGGCCTTTAAGGTGATTCCGACTCCTGGCGATGTCCTGTGTTACAGGGTAGAAATGCTCTGCAGGATTTTCTTGACTAATCTTTACAAAACAGTTTGTTAGGCCTTTCTTCTGCAAAGCTGCTGAGTATATTTGAACTGCCAGCCTTTAGGTTAGCAGCTGGGCGCAAACTGTTTGCATCACTCAGGCTCCTATCTAATCCTAAAGTAATCCCTACTTCCTTGTAGAGATCAAGAACTAGTACGACTTGGCCCGAAAACGAAGTCAAAATACTAAGAATCTGAGCCGGGTCAGGGCTGAGAGGAAGCAGGCCACATGGTGCTGTAACAATTCTGGCAGAATGAGAGTGATGTTAGTTTGCAATAGCCCCTGCATTAGATAAACAGTGCTAAATGTTTTCATTTTCTGTGACCTGAAGAACACTCACAATGAAAGTTAGATTTGGAGGCAGCTGCCTCTCTGGTAGCGTAGTGGTTACGAATCAGGCTGCGAACCTTAAGGTCAGCAGTTCGAAACTACCAGCCGCTCAGCGGGAGAAAGATGAGGCTTTCTACTCCTGTAAAGATTTACACCCTCGGAAACCCTGTACAGGGTCGCTATGGGTCGGACCCGACTCAATGGCACTTATCAGCAACAGTAGCAGCCTTTTTGAGCAGTGCTCTTTCTGACAAGATCGGGGGTGGGGGGGTAGGGGTGGGGGTGGGCGTTCACATTGCTATGACCGTAGACACTACTTCCCTTTCTGCGTGTGTTTTCCCCACCTTGGTTCTTATTCCCAAGCTTTTTGTCTGTCTTCCTTTCCCATCAGCTGGACCACCTTTATTCCAATCCTAGTGACACAAGTCTTATTTGACACTGGGGTTTGGAGTGTGAAGGGCAAAGAAAGAAGAAATAGCTTCTCTCGATGTGTTTTCTTATGATTTTTTATAAAGCCCCTTACTGATGAATGAATTCTGATTCACAGCCACCTTATAGGACACAATTACACTGCCCCACAGGAGTTCCAAGGCTGTAATCTTTACTGAAGCAAAAGGCCACATCTTTCTCCCATGGGTCAAACCACCAACCTTACAGTTAGCTGATGAGCACTTAACCACTGTGCCACCAGGGCCCCTAAGGATTTATGATAGTCCCAGAAAAGTTAGGTTTTGACAGAGCACTGTTGAGAGTTATCTACCTTCAACTCTGCATCTCTCTGGCACTGGCCGAATCTGTAACCTGTCTTCAGCAAGTGTAATGACTTCATATCTGCCGTCATTTGTTTTTCTGAAGTCATTTTTTATTTCCCCTTTATTCCAATTCCAATTTTCTTACTTAAAATATATTAGAAAACGTAGGTATGAACCCCTGGAATCATAAATAACAGATCAGCTGGAATGTGGTTGGAACACTTCTGAGGGATCAGATGCAGGGGAGAACTAGCAACTGTTCAGTTGAAGGTTCTACCTCTTCTATGTTCTTAGTCAGACAGACCACTGTAGGCCACAGAGTTCATGACTAAGGCAGGATTTTTTTTTTTTAAATCTATAGATCAACCTCATAATAAAAGAAATTAAAATGAAAACTATATCAAGATAGATGCTTTGTATCAGACTGGCAAAAATCCAAAAGTTACAGAACACATTCTTTTGATGAGGTCAGGGGAACCTTGCTGGTAGAAGTATTATGCATCGCTGGTAGGAGTATTAATTGTTATAATCAATGGAGACAGTAATTTGGAAATATCTATTACAGTTATAAATACATATGACCTAGCATTTCTACTTGTAGGAATTTGTTCTCTAAATGTGTTCTATGTGCAGCTGAGATCCATGTTGTGGTTGTTAAGTGCCATGGAGTCGGTTCGAACTCATAGCGACCCTGTATAGGCTTTAAAAGGAGCAGCTGGGTGGGTTTGAACTGCAGACCTTGTGGTTCACAGTCCACTGCTGATCCTTCAACACCACACCAGGATCAAATGAGATCCATAGATGTCTGTGTATTGTTTGCAATAGTAAAAGAGGGGAGAAAGCCCATGTGCCCATAAATAACCAACCAACCAGCAAAAAGCACTGAGCCAAACAAAAATCCAACCTCAAACCCTCTACCACAGAGTCGATTCCAACCCACAGCAAGGGGTTTCAAGGACAACTGTTTCAAGGACAACTGCTCCAGAGGCTTTCATCACTGCAGTCTTCAAAGGAAAGCATCACTAGGTCTTTCCTTCTGAATCTGCTGGGTGAGTTTGGACCTCCAACTTATAGGTTAGGGAGCTTATCAATAGGGAAGTGTTAACTAAAGCTATGCACAGTCATGACACGGAAGAAACAAGAGAAGTTCTGTGCAGAGAGCAGGGTGTAAGTGGAAAAGCACAGCGTGGAGCAGTGTTTACCATCGGCTGGTATCTGTGTAAGACATGCCAGGAAGAATCGGAAAGCTTGTGTTTGCTGACATATGGAAAAAGAAACGCTGCTGTGATACACAGAAACTACCACCAACAGTAATGGTGGTACGATGGGGGGCAAGTCAGTGGAGAAGAAGGAGGAAAACATTTTACTGTAAGCTTTTTTTCCTTTCCCTTCTTCTTGTTGTTAAGTGCCATCAAGTTGGTTCCAACTCACAGTGACCCTGTATAGGGTTTCTGAGGAATGGCTGGTGAATTTGAACCATTGACCTCGTGGTTCAAACAAACCTTGTGGTCCATCCAGTGCATTAACCTGCAGAGCCACTGTTGTTGGTGAGTGCCATTGAATAGGTTCTGACTCATACAGCGTTTCCAAGGAGTGGCTGCTGAGCTTGAACTTGCAGCTCAAACTGACCTTGCAATCCAGAGCATTAACCCACAGTGCCACACAAGGACTAGTGACCATCCAATCAGCTCTGACTCATGGGACCTTAAAAAGGTTGGCAGTTCAAACTCATCAGCCGCTCCTCAGAAACCCTATACAGGGTCGCTATGAGTCAGAACCAGCTTGATGGCACTTAACAACAACAATCGTGTTTAAGAGAAGGGAAAATAGGCCCTGAAACCTACAAAACCCCAAAAGGTAATTGTTCTGCATAGAATATATCCTCGAAAGAAAGAACAGTAGTATTCTGAAGATTGCACAGACACATTTTTTACTCAGCACCTCCTCTGTGCCAGGTACTGGGGCTGATGGAACTATCCTCTAGAAGACTTGGCTTAGACTGGGGAGTCAGAGAAAAGAGGGTGGTATGGAGGGATAGGAAAGCTGGGAATTGCTCTTTCTCCCTTGCTCCGCTTTCAACAGAGCTTTGAGGAATGAAGAAAATGCCCACGGACCTACGGTCCCTTTGGTGGGTAGATATTTGGAAATGTTATTTCTTTAGCACTTTAGTTCTTTGGATTTGTGATGACTGTGTTTTATTGGGGCAGGTTGGAATTTTAGGGGTTTTTCTTTTTCTTTTTTTTTAGGTAATTAGGTGACTATTTAGAAAGAGAGAAAAAGACCACAATTTAAAAAACAGAAAAGTAACAGATAATAAACACACCACATAATTTAAAAAAGAGAAAGTTATATTAACTGCCTGAAATACCTCTGTAATAATACTTTCTTATATTTTTGGGCTGCATTCACTTTGATCATTTTCACATAGCAACAGTTTGGAACAAACAAATTTATTTGTTCTTCTGACAGTCCATGGGACTTTCAATAGTCTTCTCCAACACTGTAATGCAAACGCATCAGTTCTTTTTTGGTCTTTCTGATTCATTGTCTAACTTTCACATGCATATGAGGCGATTGACAATACCATGGCTTGGGTCAGGTGCACTATGGGTCAGGTGCAACTGATATTTTTGTTCTTGGTTACTTTAAAAAGTCTGAACAACCCTAGAGGCAGTGTGCCTCCATCCCCTGGGGTCACTCTAAGCCAGAATAGCCTGTAGAGTACCTAACACAGCAACAACACAGAGAGATGTTCTAGTGATTAAGCTATTGCCTCTTAACTCCGAAGCCCTCCCATTCCTGCCAGCATCACCACAGCCATGGGCTTCACCATTCGAAACTTCACTTCCTCTGAACTTTAAAGTCAAATGATCCAATCAACCACTTTTCTTAATTAAGCCAGTTTGCGATCTTTGTGTTTTCCTATTTTTATCTGTAACCAAAAACATCATAGTAAAGGTATTATAATTTTACACAAATAATGTGGATGATTTACATTTTTTGCCAGCCAACCTCACCACTCCCCTACCCAACACAAACACTATTTTCACAAATGTGTGATGCTGTGGTGTATCATATATGTGGGCACATTATTTATGTAGTGAGCTATTTGTGAAAAAATACGGTGTTAGTAATTTAAAGAGAAGTTGATGGGTATTCTCACTTACAAATTGTATGCAAAAACTTCTACAAAACCCACCTCTAAATTCTTTATTAGAGCACAAACCCACTAAATAACATTGTTTATTTAAAGAGTGCTATTTGG